CATAGGATGACGTTTATCCTCATGAATGCTTCCTTGGGTTCAAATCCACACCTCGTGAACTAGACGTTATGGTTCCACTGAGGCGTTTTATACTTGAAAGGTTGTCGATTTCGTCCATCCATGCGTGCAATTTATGCCAGATTCAAATTCAACCTTTGGCTTTAGGTGTTAAAATTGGTTTTGGATCTGCGAATGACTAACAATACGTCAAGTTTTGAGTGATTGATAAATAGTTTAAGCGTTATATTTTCTTGAAATATTTGCAAAGTATATTTTTGGAGGTCGTCGAAAAGTCAATTAAGAAAAATAAAATTCGTGCTTAAGCTGTAAGAACAAATGTCTCAGTGTTCTGTTTTGAATGCAAATAATTAACGTAGGTTCTTAATTTGACGTAAGATACTTTTAGACACAAATCTCAGAAATAAAATGATACCAGTATTCGGATTCTATTTTTGTTCTTTTAGCATTGAAGACTATACGGCAGTGTAAGGTTATATTCAAGTATATTGAATCAAAAATCAAAAGGCTTTTATATATAATAGAAGAAAAAAATACTTCTGCCAACAAATATTTCAACTGTCAAACACCAAGCGGTTACCGGTGACCGCAACCTATTGTTCTATAATTGTGTCTATAATGACGGTACTCAACGAGTTAAATCACTTACATAGGGCCAGCTCTTGGACGTAACACGACACTAGCGCCAATTTATTCGAAACTTTGACTCATTTGGTGTCCATGAGTGGCGCTATTCGCTTACCATCAAGTGATACGTATATTTGTTTGCCTTCTATTGCATAAAAAAGAGAAATAAAGATCTAAACCTTAATTCTTTAAGGTCAATTAATTATTCTCTAGCAAATGTTAAGCAGTTATATACATATTTATTCTACATTATTCTTCTATGTATCTAAAGGGCCATGCGCCTAATGAACGCTGATTAACTATGACCAAACTATTTCTGCGGATTCGAGTTACGATCCCTTCTCGTACGTGCCTTGAATTCAGTAAACAATACCTAGTAGTGACTTAGTGTCGGCCGAAGGGACTTGAATACATAATGAAGTTATCTAGCACTAGAGACTATGTATTTCTATTATTAAAACGGACAAATTGTGTGGAAATACTAAAGGTATCTATGATATACTTCTTGTAGAGATTTAAGTTTAGTCATAGATGAATCTGATTTTTACTTTAATGTTACTTAGGTTGGACCGGTTAATTTTTAATTTTATTTTAAATATGCGTATATTGTACCAAATTGAAAGTAATTTTAATCAGCTGTAACTAACTTCAAGAAGCACATTCTTTAATGAAAACCTTTTAAACGTTTTTATAATGAAAATATTTTTAATTATTTTACCTGTTATTCAATAAACATCATACTTACCTGAAAAACACTTATCATTTTTTATAGAACTTATTGCGAAAATGCGACTCCTAAAAAATATTAAACATATCCAGTATCCCCCATCTGGTTTAGACGAATAATAATGCTTTACCCTTCATCATAATTCGACGTGTGTCACCTACACACACTTGCCAATACCTACCAAGAGTACTGGTAATCGGACAATGATCGTCTTTTGTACCGAATTCGAAGGAGTCGACACGTTCATGCCTCACATAATTCATTTTTTTCCACTTTCTGCCTTCAACTCGACGAAATATTTAACGTTTGCTAGAAATTTGTAGAAAAGTTTTATTCAAGTTACATGTGTTTAATTTTTTACCAAAATGACTGCACGGTTGGCGCGGTGGCTGGGCAACTGGCTGCCGCGCAACGTGTCGCGGGTTCGATTCCCGCACGAAACAACTCTTTGTGTGATCCACAGATTGTTGTTCCGGGTCTGGGTGTCATGTGTAAGTGATATTGTATGTTTATAAACGCACCCACGACCCTAGCATGGGGCAACGTTTAAAAAAAAAATTACATTTTTATTTTAGTTAACAATCCCTCTGAACAATTAGATAATATAAGAAGCTCTTATAGCTTCCATGAAATGCGGGGATATAGGATAAGCCGGTAAACGAGCAGACTGATCACCTGATGGTAAGCAATCGGTGTCGTTCATGGACAGCTGTAACACCGCGTTACAAGTGCGACTTTTTAGGAATTTGAGGATTGTTGGATTCAGAGATTGTGGAGATTGGGAGGGGGGAGAGGAGGGGGGTGGTTGGGTCTCCAGTAAGTAATTACCACGCTGAACAGCAATGCTTATCTATCTATATATATAAAAGAAAGTTGTGTAAAATATGATATTTATAACTCAAGAACGGCTTAATCGATTTGGATGAAAACGGAGATGAAAACACTTTGGATACGACGGATACTCATTATTCAATTTCTTTTTACTATATATCGAAAATCATGAACGGGACTGGAAAAAACGTGATTCCGCGAACAAAGTCGCGAAAGAAGAAGCTAGTTTATTAAAAAGTTTATGCGACTTCACCACAACACTAAAATATTATAGTTATACCAATCTTTTAAAATTGTACATGAATAAAATTTTTCTTCTATTTCATAAACAGTGCACACCAAAATTTCTACTTCCTAACCAACTTTACACAAGCGTTCCTTAATTTATAGACAACGGATATCCGCCAGATAGTGGTGTCTAGCCGACTAATTTACAGTCTCGACAACACTATGTTGTTTCCTTACTACAATTGTTTTATTTTTAAAACGTAGGCTTTGTTATGTTACTTTTTGTCCTTGGTGTCAACAAACTTTTTAATTACTAGCTGTTACCCGCGACTTCATTCGCGTAGAGTATGAATTTTTGGACATAACTTTTATTGTTATTAAATTTTCCAAAATAAAATTAGCATTAGTTACTCCTTAGCACGTTAGCTCCCTGCCAATAAAAGTCCTGTCAAAATCAGTCCAGTCATTCCAGAGATTAGCCAGTACAAACAGACAGACAGACAAAAATTTAGAAATATGTTATTTTGGTGCATGTAGCGTATGTATATTCATGTGCATGTAGTAAAATGCGGTTTTAGAGGTAATATTACATATAGACAATTCAGTTTTATTTATCTGGATAGATAGCTACTAATCTTATAGCTTATAATTATAATATTATGAGTATTATAGGTTGTAAAAATGACATTTAATTAGCTTCGTTGTAGGATAGTAAGGAGGCAAAAATCAAGCACATTTTCCAGACTTAATACTACTAGAAAAACTTTGAAATCAAATACCCAAACTTTGCTCATTAAGGGTATTTAAAACTATTTTCTTTTTTGTTCCAATACGTGGTACAAACTTAGGATCTAAAGACGTACATACACTTTATGACTATATTTTGTTCCACTTGCAAGCGCCAATAAAATTCACAATTTTATTGCTTACATAACAGATTTGCACTTAGATAACAAACACGTAACATTTAAAATAACATTACAATTAAGTTCATTAATTTATTCCAAAGTTTACTTTTGTTATGAAAACCGAAGACAAAAATAGATGGTTGTATTTTACCCTCATTATAAATGAAATGAAATTAAATGAACCTTTTAGTTTTCTTAGTTAATAGTTATTATGATTATAATGAAGGGAATCGAGCACCATCCTTGAGTTTATTTCACATAATAGATTGTGGTACACTTTAATGAAGATACTTACTCCTTTAATGGAATGTTTTACTCCATAAAACATGATTAAAGAACCTTTTAATTAGACAATAAAGGAGATTCATTTATTACCAGTGCAAATTAAGCATTTTTGGGAGTATTACAAGACTGGGTACATTAATCGTGGAATGAATTAAGTTAGGAACGATTGTGTGGTGTAATTCGAAGAGTAATGGTTAAAAATGTTATTAGATTAATTAGTGGCTTCATAAAAGTTTAAAAAAAAATACTAGAATATTATTCCGAGTTGATTTACCTTGTAGTACATTCATCATTTATTTTCTTACTACGTATTTTTTTCAAGTGTCTTAGGTAAGTTGGTACAAATAAGCGCAAAAATTGCTGAACGAATTGATGGTTGTGATCACAGATTGCAGCGATTCGTAATATTACTTTACGTTAATTATTATATCATTGCACACACAGAAATAAAATATAAAAAAATAATTACATCAGTGTTCAGTTTAATTATTATAGTGGCAGTTTTGGAACCGATAATTATGACGTAAACTATATTATTCTTTCTTTATTAGTGTGGGAGAGCCATGCTTCAGCACGAATGGGCCGGCTCGACCGAAACGATACCACGGCCTCACAGAAAACCGACGTGAAGCAACGCTTGCGTTGTGTTTCGTCGTGTAAATGAGGTTACTGGAGGCCCAGCACCCTCCCCCCTTCCCCAATCTCCCCCGAATCCCCAACAATCCTCAAACTCCTAATTCCCAAAAGGCCGGTAACGCACTTGTAACGCTTTTGGTGATCCGTATGATCGTTTACGGCATATGCCATAAAAAATCAATTTAAAAATACTAATAAATTATCCAAACATCAATGAATACTTCCCAGTTTATTAGTATAAAGTTGAGGACTTTCCCTGGAATTCGATGAATCAGCATGAATGACAAGTGCCTACTGACTTTGTGGCTCAAGTGTGACACTCGACTTAAGTCTGGACCAACCTTTGATGTATCACGCATTTCAGTAAAATTGATCTTTGGAACCAATAACAAGTCAGCGAATTTCTTCTTAATTATCTTTGAGTGAACGATGATATTCCACTCCATAATATTGGATTTCTTTTAAAAGAATTTCTAAGAAACGTTTGTTTTAAATTACACGTAATTTAACCTCCGCTTGTTTTGTATATCTTAGTTGGGAGTATCCGTTTACGGCTAATAATAAACAAATTTGATTCGTTACTGCGATATTATGCTTAGTGTTATGTGTTTTAAGGTATAATTTTAATAACATTTAAGAAATGCTGCGATATGCCATGAAAAAAAAAAAAAAAAAAAAAAGTTCGCGGGTAGTTGCCTAGTAAACACTTCAATTACGCTAGTGCATTTTAAAAATTATTTTAATTATTAATTCATATTTATTAATATTATAACTTTAATGATAACTTTAAATTATTAAATAGTGACATCTGCCAGTTCAGGTTCTTACTAATTTCTGCAACCACATAGTGGATTCACTGAAAGTATGGAAGCACTCACTAAGTCAGTCTCTGATTTAAGCAAGACCATGTATGCTCGAATGACTGCATTTGAGGAGGAGCAGAGAAAAAACCCAAGCACACTCGATACCACCCAAGGTTTAAGCCTAGAGTTTGTTGCTTTTCGATCATTTGTTGTGCAGTCACTCACTATGCTTCAACAGCAGGTCAATTTCCTGGTTCAAAGCAATGATACCAGTGAAATGCGCAGAAGGCGCAAAATATTGCTCTTGCATGGGGTACCCGAAGCTAAAGAAGAGGTAACAGCAAAGGTGGTGGTCCAGGTAGCTAAAGAGCATCTGAAGCTTGATTTGAAGTTGCCAGATATTAAGCGGTGCCACAGGATGGGACGTGCAATGCAGAAGCCCAGACCAATCATTTTCAAGCTCCATGATGTGACTCTTCGGGATAGCATCTGGTTCGGTAAGGCTGGGTTAAAGGGTTCCGGTTTAACAATTTCGGAATTCTTGACCAAATCCCGACATAATGTTTTTATGGCCGCTCGGGATAAATTCGGCGTGAACCAGTGTTGGACTAAGGAAGGAGATATTTATATCCTTGATAGGCAGGGATCTCGGCATCGAGTATCTTCCTTGGATGATCTCGATAAGATTGGCCTCCCGTCTGACGCCGCGCGAAGTGCATCTGGTCATCCTGAGCAGAGGATTGCGCAGCCTGGAAGTGCAGCGGGAGCCAAGGAGATAGCACCGAAGCCAAAGATGTCGAAGCGTGTTACGCGGAAATAATTAAGTGCTTTCGGTGTTAATAATTTAGCATCTTGTCGAATTGTTGTAGTTATTTCACTACTGGTGGTCCAGGTAAGTAGATAATTTTATTTTGAAATTGTTCAACCGTAGTCTAATTTCACCGTCACTTTGTTTTTATTGCAATCACAGGTAAATTGAGGTATTTATTAGTGGATTTTTACGATCGTATCATTCACTCAAAATCATAACAAATCAACAATTGTGTCAGCTGTCAACTTGTCAAGTTGTTTATGTCAATGTCAACATGCTGTCAACCAGCTTATTGATGTGAATGATACGTTTCGTTACACGTTGTGCTCTGTTGTTGTTTTAATGTTTTGTTCTTGTTTTATTCCTTTTATTTAGATTACATTATTTTATTTTTTACCTGGACTACCATACAATTTAATTAGCGTTTTTTCTTCCTTGTTTTTGTATTTTTAATCTACTGGTTGCTGTTATAAATGTCTATGATAGGTCAACTGGCAGATGGATGAATATTATCCACTTCATAGTATAGGAAATTTATTTTTATATATTAATTTATTGTTGATTTATTAATATTATATTGTCTATATTATTAACTTATTTATCCATACATATTATTTATTTACCTTACACATATTATACATACACGTACACAACTCATGCCAAACTCGAGTTACAACAGTGACTCTGATGTGTTTTTATCTTTATCTTCAGACGAAGACAGTATATTTAATGGTGTGCCTCCTTTATCTGACACACTAGTATCCATTTTTTCGGATGTTTCTCGGAACTTTAATGTGGTCCACATAAATGCTCAGAGTATTCCGGCTCATTTCATTGATATGCTGACAGTTTTCAACTGCAAAGATGTCCATGCTATTCTTGTTTCTGAGTCATGGTTGAAACCTTGCCTCCCCTCTTCATCCTACGCTCTTCCAGGTTTCAATCTTATCAGAAATGACCGGGCAGTGGGGGGTGGTGGCGGCGTGGCCATATACCTTCGTAATCAGATACCCTTTACTGTGGTTAGTGTGTCTGCGCAGCCACCTCCTCCAAACGGTGGTGAACATCTTTTCCTGGAAGTTGAACTTCATCACTCTAAGATTCTTCTTGGGGTTTTTTACTGTCCCTCTCTCCGTATAAATTTCTTTTCTTCTTTTGAGCACCTTTTGGAATCATTTGTTCCTATGTACGACCACACCATATTAATGGGAGACTTTAACACCTGCATTTTAAAAAATGACTCCCGTTCTACCTCTCTTACTCATGTCATTGAATCAGCTAATCTCTCTTTACTGAATCTTAATGCTACTCACCATTTCCCTAACTCTATTCCCTCTCTACTTGATTTAATTTTAGTTTCTTCTCCCCATCACATAGCTAAACACGGGCAGTGTTCAGCTGATCATTTCTCTTACCATGACTTAATTTATGCTTCTTATAAGATTCGACCCCCTAAGCACACTTCGAAAACTCTTTTTCTTCGCAATTTTGAGGGTATGAATGTCGATCGCCTGCGGGAAGATGCTGGTAATATTGACTGGACACCTTTGCTTCAATCTGTGTCGGTTGATGAACGGGTTGAGATTTTGACCACCAACATTATCCAACTGTATGACAAGCACGCTCCTGTCCGGGCCGTTAGAGTCAAACACCTTCCAGCACCTTGGCTCAGTGATGAAATTAAAAACCTTATTGCTCGGAAAGCAGCTGCGAGGTTCAAGTTTAAAGTCCGGCCAAACGACGTTAATAAAAACAAATATATTGCGATCAGGAACCACTGCAACAAGGTGTGTAGAAATGCAAAACGCCAACACATACATAAATCACTTGAAAACAGTGATCCGGCTAAGGTCTGGAAGTTTCTTAGATCATTGGGTATAGGCAAATCTGCTCAAAACTCAATTCCAGATAATCTTAACTATAACTCTCTTAACTGTCATTTCTCTTCTTCGCCTGTTCTGGATAGGGCAACCAAAGCTTCTACTTTAAATTCTCTTTCTCTCCTGCCGTCACCTGTTATATCTCTCTTTGACTTCAGTCAGTTTGCCGGGGGGGATGTTAGAAGGAGCATCTTGTCGTCTACTTCCAATGCCGTTGGTAGTGACTGCGTTAGCCGTAAGATGCTTATCCCTATCCTTGATGAAATTATTCCTGTAATTCTTTTCGTCCTTAACTCTTCAATCACCGACAGAACTTTCCCCCAAAGTTGGAAAGAAGCTCACATAATCCCGCTACCCAAAAAATCCAATCCCACTTCCTTTACCGATTTTCGTCCCATATCCATCCTCCCATTTTTATCCAAAATCCTAGAGAAGCTGGTCCACCAACAAATCAGCAGGTTCCTATCCCAGCATAGCCTCCTAAGTCCCTTCCAATCTGGGTTTCGGCCAGGGCACAGTACTACAACGGCTCTTGTTAATATAACAGACGATATCCGGTCAGGCATGGAGTCAGGAAAGTTAACGGTCCTTGTACTCCTAGATTTCAGTAACGCCTTTAACACCGTTGACTTTGACTTACTGCTTGGCGTGCTCAGCTCCTATGGCATGTCCCCGTCGGTAATTGACTGGTTTCATAGTTACCTGTTCGGCCGCCGTCAGCGTATTCACCTTGAGGATTCTAGGTCTTCATGGTGTTCCACTGCTGCCGGCGTACCTCAGGGTGGCGTTTTATCTCCTCTTCTCTTCACATTATTCATTAATTCTATTTCTCAAGGTCTATCTTCTTCCTACCACCTTTACGCAGATGATCTTCAGATCTACACTCAGGCCTCTCTTGAAGATTTACCAGGCGCCATTAGATTAATTAACGACGATATGGCACGAATAGGTGACTGGAGTTCCAAATTTGGGTTACTAGTAAATCCATCAAAAACGCAGGTGACTATCATTGGTAGTGCGCGTACCGTCTCCAAAATGAATTGGACAAGTCTTCCCCAAGTTTCTTTTCTAAATACAAAAATTCCTTTCTCCCGCGATGTTAAGAACTTGGGGATTTACATTGACAGTAACCTCTCCTGGAATAAGCAATTGCAGGTGGTCAGTCGGAAATTGTTTGCTTCAGCGGGCTCCTTAAGGCGTCTTCGTAATTTCTTACCCACAAAAACCAAAATTGCACTTGCACAGTCTCTTCTTCTACCAATACTCGACTATGCTGATGTCAGCTATCTAGATCTCACCCAAGAACAATTGGACAAGCTTGAGCGCCTTCAAAACCTTTCTATCAGATTTATATTTGGTTTGCGCAAGTATGATCATGTTTCTGAATTTCGTAGTAAGCTCAGATGGCTGCCTATCCGCCTTCGCCGGAACGCTCATATCCTTTCGTTACTATTTAATGTACTTTTTAATCCTGCTGCCCCTTTCTATTTAAAGGAACGTTTCCAGTTCCTGGGTGTCACACATTCGAAGTTCCTGAGATCATCGGAGAATCTTAAGCTCAGCATTTGTAAGCACTCCACTTGCTTTTATGACAAGTCTTTCACAATACAAGCGGCTCGGTTGTGGAATGCGCTGCCGGTGGAAGTGCGACGTGCTCAAACTCTGGGTCAGTTTAAGGGACGTGTGAAGGAACACTACCTGTCACTGTAGAAATGCTTTTGTCCTTTCATTATGGATAAACACATCACACACACACACACACACACACCACACACACACACATACTCATACACGTAACTATATATAGTTATCATTTTACATTTAAGTATATATTTATTACATAGTATTGCCATTTTTATCTTTTATGTATTATAATAAGTCTGTAAGTTTCATTGATTGTTTAATTTGTTTTTTATTGTTTTTCTTCTATTTTGGTTTTCTTTTATTGTGCATCTACCACCCATTCCCAGATTCTTTTCAAAAATTCCATCGAAAGGTTGTCTGGAAAAAATCGCCGCGTGTGATAAGACCGCCCATTGTACTCAAATTACTATTGAAATGTTTACAATTTTTCTATGTGTGCAATAAAGTATATATAAATAAATAAATAAATAAATAGATAATCACGTCATTTAAATCAACAAATAAAACTGCTGAGTCATTAAGGTATACTGTAGCTGATTTCTTAGTGTCAACCAATAATAGCTATTTTATAACTTTCATAGGACATACATTAATAATGTAATAAAACTAAACTATTCTGTACATAGATAAAAACTAAATAATAAATAACTAGGGCTATAATAAATAAAAACTAATGTTGTTACTACTAAAATTAACATAAAAAGTTATATTGAAAAATAGGATAGGACAAAAAACATTAACGTTTCTTAGCTAGATATATATCTTAAAATGTAAATTAATCCTATTCACAAAATATATTAGGAAATCATAACTTTACTGCTCACATTATTTGATTCCAAACGCTGTTTAAATTAACCTATTCGTTTAAATAAAACGTCTTTCAAATGTCCCATTAATGCCAGAGTGGATTGTTCAATTCTAAAAAGTCCCCGATTTCAAAGACATTCTTCTAATGGTCCATGTGCACTGTAGTTCGTAATTTACTATATATCACTGACGAAATCAGTAACTGAGTTCGGTCGTCTGTGTGTGCAACCATCATTCAATTCAGTTCGGTTCACCAACTTGATCTAGTGACCAATTATTTTTGTAGTATGCAGTAAATTGAAGACATTAATTCAACCTTTAAACATTTTACATGTTTCAGAAATGAGAAATTTCATTAGAAAATCATTATGTGTGTGTTGGTTGTAAATAATAAAAGTTACTTAATATTTAGTATGCACTGTTTGAGTTTATTTCAATTAGTTCTCATCTCAAGCATAAAAGTTTTTGTGATCTTAGAACGAAGATTCTTCATTTAACTACGTTTTTCATCTTTATTTTTTAGACATAATGAATCGATTTTCAATGCGAAGTACCAATCTTCACGATTCAATGCTCTATCTGTTTCATCTATCTTTTAATTCCATATGACTGCCTACGTGCCGGTTTTCTTTTGTTTTGTGGTACGCTTTCCCATTATATGGGTTTCATATCACATGTGAATTAAATAAAATGATTTGGCACATTTTTGTCCACGATTTCTAATTAACACTGCATGCGTCTGCACTATGTATGGTCAATACTTGGTTTCATATTATGATTGATTTTTATAGAATATGTATATGATTTTTATAGCAACTGAGTAAAATGACCGAGCATTTTAATTTGAGTGAAAACTGCCTGATTACTAAATTTTAATGCTGATTCTTATTTAATCTTGCGAGTCACAGAAAATCTCGACGTCGTTTAACTAATTACTTAATTTATTATTCCATTCACAGTACAGGATTAAAGTTCGTACCTGAAGACTATTTACAGGGAAAACTTTTTTAAATTAAAGTCTTTCATACTAACTTGCTTTTTCGAACAAAATTCAAAACGTAAATAAGAGCACGGTCACAAAAAATCT